GGGCAACACCATCTGCTCGAAACCAAGAGCCGGAGCCTTTTGGAAGGCAGTCAGACACAGCACTCACCCACATCATTGCCAACAGGTACTAAAGCACAGGCGGAGATGAGCCCAGCTCCTGGGGATGCTGGCCTCTACAGACCATGAGCTTAGAGATTAGTATCCCCGCTTGGACTCAACCAACCACAGATCCCAAGCGGTTTCCTCCTGCTCTATAAAGTTACATCTACTTGCTCCAATTTTATTAGCACTACTAGTTGCTGGGGTTTGGGGGGGGCTTCTTTTCACTACTTCCTACATCCAAAAAAGTTCACTACTTACTATAAACCTTGACGATAAAATTTTTTTTGTTTTTTTTTTTTTCCAAGAGCAGCTTAATTCTTACCATTCTTACAGCTGCTCATTCGCAGCATCCAAGGGATGATTCCTGTCACACCGAATAACTTCAGTGCCAGATTCTTCAACCTTCAAGCACTCCTGCAAGTTTGACTTCAAAATAGTAGAAAATGTGATTTTTTTGCAATGATGGAGCCTCCAAAGAGTTGAGAGTTCACATTCTTAAACTGTGTAAAGATCTATGGCTTCTGAAGTGCTGAAATCTAGTTGTTTTTCAAACTCCCCATTGGATCCAACCGAACAATGACAAGCTTGCATTCTCATGAACAAAACCCATTTTGAAAAACTGACCCAAGCAACAAATATCATTAACCAACTCTAACAAATACAGCAGTCTTAAAATTCATTCATACTTCAAATGCCCCCACCCTCTTCATTATTTTTGTAACAATTCAGCACATACAGAAACCTACTTATGTACTTTTAACAGAATCAGTTTTCATTCAAACACAAATAACACCCCCACTTTAAAAGAAAATCCCCCCCAAAAACACTGTAATAGAATTACAAATTAAACTGTGGGAGACAAAACTATGTCAATGTATAGAGCTGCTTAAATATACACCAGTGACACTTTAGCATATAAGTAAAATAACGTAAGTAAAGAATGAATAATTCCAAAACCAAACCATCTTTCCTCTTCACCCCACCCCCAAGTCTTGGTTCTAAATCAGCAAAAACCTACAGCCTAAATAGCGATTTAGTCACTTTTAAATGTTCTTGCTGGACAGCAAACACCATCTCTAAAAATATCCTTGCTAGAAATGAATGTTGAAGTTCTAATGGCTAGGTCATCCTCCACATTCAACTGACTCTTAATGGTTTCGGTGTGGGCACCTCTTTCAGCCTCCAGCAGAGCCCAGAGGCACACACAATGACGCATCTCTGTCAGAGTCAGCATCAATACTGCAAGCACAGTTTGGTGCAAGAACCTTTCTCACGGTTCTCTGCTGCTCCCATTAATGTTCTCAGTCCTTTCTGGATTTCAGCACCTTCAGGTAAATCTTGGAGCATATTTGTGTATTCTTCCAGAAGACTTAAAGACTCTGCTACACATTTAACCAGCCCAACTGTGGAAACAAGTGCTTTCTCTCTATGGCATATCTAAGAATCTGTATGCCCCCCCTCATAATGAGAAACAGAGTTTTTTTTTTAAACCATAACTATGCCTTGCATAATTAGTCAAGATTAAGGAAGATTGAGGACTAGAGAATTAACTTTTTCCTCTCTTGTGTTGTTAAAAGACAACAAATTCGGGTCTGACAATCAGCCAATGTAACAATTTAGTTTTCTGAATGCAAGCCTTTGGGAGTTGAAGTGGCAACAGTGAACCACCAAGATGTTACAATCAGCAGAGAGGCAAAACACATACATACTCTTTATTCTGAGTGGACAGAATTGCCTAAGATGTGTCACCACCTCAAATAACGAAAGCCAGCAGAAAGGTAAGTAAGTAACAGAGGTTGGACACCACTGACTTTCAACACTCAAACCTGAGCCAGTCGGTTCCCAAGACTTGGTCTTTGATCACATAATATACCTGCAACACTTGTTGACAAGATCTGCAGACAAACGGTCACATACAAAATCTGCTTGAGATTAAAAAATACTAATTTTCAAATGGTGGTTCTCAGCAGGACCTGATCAACATCGGGATACTCTTTTCAGCAAGGCCTGTTGTGGCAGCAGAAAAAAAATGGTTTTTAACTAAGGGAGGGCAGATTTAGACTAGATATAAGGAAGAAATTTTTATAACTAGGGTGGTGAAGCACTGGAACAGGTCGCCCAGAGAGGTAGTGGAGGCCCCCTCCCTGGAAACATTCAACGCCAGGCTGGATGCAGCTCTGAGCAACTTGGTCTGGTTGGAAATGTCCCTGCTCACTGTAAGAGGGTTGGGCTAGCTGACCTCTAAAGGTCCCTTCCAATCCAAACCATTCTATGATTCTACAACAGGGAAAGCTAGCACAAATGCATTAGTTTCAAGTTTTATTTTTCATGTTGGTGAAACACATAGCCTCTTCTCACGAAGCAGCATCTATAGAGTTGTTACAAACACATTTTGTACTTAATACACCACAGATTTGGAAAAAGAACAAATAAAGTACAGGTTTCACACTGCACTTGGGCATACTGAGTCTTAAGTTACAGATAATCTAGAAATCTTCTGATTTCACATATACATTGCATTGGCCATCACTCAGCGTTCATGCACAATTTAATTTAATTTTTCTTACAGTCAACACTTGTTTTGGAAACTTTCTTACTGTAAATGATATCTTTTCCACTTTAAATCACTTCAATGATATTTACATAAGTGTGCAAATTGCTTTGAAAGATAGAAATAAACACTAACACATAATATACAGACAGCTTCTTCTATAGTTAAACATTTACTAAAAAGCAGTTAACTTTCCTATCACACTTCATTGCCTAAAATAGAAGAATAAGTTATATAAAATAGACCATCTTATTTTCAGATGCTTCCATTTCTGCAGATTTGGTCTTTGCAGCCACATTGCAATCAAAGATTAAGATTCGACTCCTAAGATTCAGAGAAGCCCCTTTAAATTCAATGGCAGCTTAGCATGTTTAGAACAAGATACTTTTGTCCCACATTTTCCACACTTGGCACAGGGAAAAGAGAAAAAAGCTGGGGGAGTGGGAAGACAGTCTTGCACATCTATTTTATTTTTTTGGCAATATTAAATGTATGCTTTAAGAATCTAATGAGTAATTTTTTTAAGGGCCTATTAGTGTTACAAGCACAGTTTAAATAAAGTCTGCAAGTTCTTTTCACAGAAGCACACAAGGCTCCCAGTTTTTCTTCTTATGCGTGTCTTCTCAGATACATATAATTGTTCACACACAAAAAAAGCAGACTCCTTGGGATCATTCAACAAAACTGATTCCAGACTTGGAAGCAGCAGGAAAAGCTTGAAGATAGTTACTTAGTGTTCCCACTGCTGCTACGTGTGTGTTTTTTTTTTCTACTTGTGATAAAGACTCCACATAAAAAGTGCGCTGTCACCTTCATGAACAAATCCAGAAGGCAGAAGTTGAGTAAACCGGAGTGAGTTGCTCCAATGGTCAAAAAGTTACAGCCAAGTTTTCAAAACCATCTTTCATGTATACTTGTAACCAGGGAAAAGCAACTCAATTCCCAAAGTTTCATTTAGACTGTTTTAAAGAAGAGCAAAAACTTCCATATACATCATCAATAACAAATGGAAACTATCTGTCAGACAGTAAAGAACTACAGGTGTAGTTTCAAATAGCTTTAAAATCCAAGCTGATTATTAATAATACAAAGAGACAAAATGCTTTTTTAACACCCATTAAATTGAATAATGTGACTTTTACAGCAGCCCTGCCTGGAAATCATGCTGTAGCTTGTGCACCCATCACAATGCTACTACTAACCACCCCAGGAAAGTGAATATTGACCCTCTAAAAGTTTACCTTCATCACAACTGTCTGATACACTGATGTCAGACATCACAGACATGTCAGCCATATGCTTGATATTTTTGAAGACATCCAGTTCCTTCATGTGGCAGAAACTGTACCAACACTTCACAACTGTGCTTTTGGTCTATTGTTTACTTAACTTTGGGCATCACATTACCACACAAATTCCTTCTGGATTCCAAGTGACCTCACCCTAGTGCAGATCTTGATTAGGTTCTTCTGAAGAAACAGACCTCAGGTATAACTTCCAGTGTTGTCAACTTTTAAGCATAGAAGGGTCAGACAAAGTTAAGACACTACAGAAGCTTGAAAAAAGCATGATGACTCAAAACCAAATAAAAATAGAGAAGATGCATTAAAATTTGGTTACTTTGGATTCTGAGCTAGTTTGAAAAATGCTGTTTGTAAGAGATAGCTGCTCTACGCTTTGAAAATATGAAAGAACGAAATGATGTCTCCACAGACTAGTGCATCGATTAGTAAATAAACACCTAGAACACTCAAACATATCCTTGAAACATTCCACCTAAGTTTTTGTTAAACACAGTCTTCAGGGCTTTATATTCAATGAACATTATCTGCTACCTTCAGTTACTTTGTTAGTTATGGCATGCTTCAGAAACACCGCTAAGAAAGGCTGTCCACTTTTCCACTCCCAAGGTTTACATTACAAACACTACGCACACATTTATTTCCAAAGACTTCAGGTCAGAGAAGTTCTTAAGATGAAACGTGTGTGTGCTTTTAAGCTTGTAAGATAGCCTCAAACTAGTTGACTTAGTATTTTCCACACCCACATGGATACTGCTTGCAAAGAATAAGGTATTAAAATAATATTCTGCAGTGGAGTAAAATCATGTTGACAATAAACTGAATGCTTCCCCCAGTGCTTCTACTAGTGAAAAATCCTGCCTGGCACAGTCTGCCTTAAGCGGTGTTAAACAGGAGATAAATAGCCAGATGAATAATCATACACGTAAGTCAGAAAACAATCACAAACATATTACTAGGACCAAAAAGTGCCAGCTGTTGAAATCCAGCATTTAAAATTTCGTACCGCTCTCCCTACTCCAGTGCTTCTGGGGTTTTGGTTTCTTTTAAACTGTGCTTTTAATAAAAATTTCTCTCAAATCTTTCCCCGACAACTGAAGGCAGGGCCCTGAGAAAGCTCCTACCAGGTAAAAAATGAAGTCCAAAGGTGTTTCAAGATGATAGGTACAATCATGCTTTTTCTCCTGTATTGTACCCAGAAGCTGCCAAGTTAATATTAGCATTCCCATACCACAATTGCAATGAAGCTCTGGTAAATCTGGTACCTTTGGATACGCTTAACATCACAAATAAGTCAAATATTTAAGACAACCTATGTCTGTAGCTAGCATAGTCCACCAGAATATTCATCCTCCTCTTCATCGGCATGAGAGCCCACTGTAGCTGGTCCTCTTGCTTTGTCTTGTGCAGCATTTGGTGATTTCTTCTTGATTCCACCTCCTGGGACCACCAAGGTAAGGCCAAGCTTGGCATACTGACAATAACAAGGCAAGTTTAATTTCTGTACTATCACGGAAGTAAAATCTTGTCGACCTACACTGCACAGAATTGACTGATGCCCACAATAAACAAGCAAGTAACATTCAATACAGAAAACAGATTGATGCTGCTTTCAGAGTATGTTTTTAGAGCTTAGAACAAGCCTAACATTCGTTCATTTCTTCTCTTTTAAACTCTCTGAGAATGGGATGTGAGATCTGTATTGATAGTGCTTATTATAATTTGGCCATGTCCTACAGCTTCTGTGGTTCAAGCTTTACATAAAACATATAATTTTTCAGTACACAGCTCTGCATGTATTATCTAGTACCAGTTCATGTAAAAAGTCCTACAAGTGTTTCTCAGTAAGACTACGACCCTATTTTACTATTCAACATAGTAACAACGTAAAATTGAGCAATACTGTTACAAACTTTGGCATGGATGGATGTCCCCTTTACTTCACACCTTTGCTGTCCTTACACTTCCTACAATTTACAAGGACAATTAAAAAAAAGGCAGGTGAGACAACTGCTTTCTTAAAATTAAAAAGAAAAAAATCTTTCATTAATTAGTACTTTGCTAAGGAATAAGCGTTGAAAAAAAACATTCCTCAATGCCATTCTGTAACATTTATGCATGCGTATCAGCTGTATGGTATTTCTGAGGTAGAGCATGAGCAGCAAACTGTTGGGGCCCCTACCGAACCAAGCAGAAGGGAATTGAATTTTGGCCAACTCAAACTCACTCAGTAAATCCGTAACAAACTGCTCTTTCACCTAAGCCTTCCCAACATCTAAAAGAAACAACAATGTGGCAATTTACATTGGCGTGCAGCAAAGTAAAAGAATACAAAGTTCACAGGCACAGGGTAGGAAGACAGAGCAAGTCACAACACACACATGGACCCTGCTCTTCTTATTTTCCTCTACCAGAACAAAAAAACCCCTCTCTCAAGCTGAACAAGCGAAAGGACCATAAAAAAAAAAAAAAGCACCATAGGAACTGCCTACTTACATCATTGTCCATGTATTTGAAGAGTGGCAAATTGCAGACTTCAGACACTTGATCCTGATCTTGCTGGTCATACCCTTCTAAAAGTTGCTCTAGTGCTGCACAGTCTTCACTGCCATTAAATCCTGGTATACTAAAAGAAATCAAGAGTTCGTTTAGGGCATTTCAGCAACCTACTTGATGCTCAGCTATTCTACCTTTAAACGCTGCTGATTAATAGCAGAAAAGCAAGCAGCTTTTAAGAATCTGATGGACTGCTTATTCAACAACACTGCTTATATCCACTTTGATTTCTCCAGATACACGGATCATATCCATAAAAACTAAACTTTCAGCAATATTAGTTTGTATGCTGAGAATAAGACCACAATCACTGCCAAGACAAAAAGATATTAGAATTTTTCAATTTTTCCTGACTAGTCAATAAACTCTTCCTCCACTTTACATACAGAAAAAATCTGTAATGAGTTTCTTTATATAAAATACAAACTGAAGACTTTGAAAATATGAGCAAGATGTCTAAAGACTGATCTTGAAAAATTATTTCTAAAAACAAAGTACAATTTAACATATACATATGGTCAAGTCATTTTACTAAAAACACAGCTTAAGTAAAAATATGTTGTTTCAGTATTTTGTTACTGAACTCCTAACGAAAGCTGAAATGCAGAGTTGCTGGGAAAGCCTCTGGAACCAGGGTTAAACACTAAACCAGATTTTGACACCAGAATTTTGTCCTGGATGTGTAAAGAATGCCTTCTTCATTTCAATGTACTAAACAGGACTACCTTCTGCTTCCTAAGTTATCTTTCAGTTCAATCAACGACTCGGGGAAAAAAAACACAAAAAACCAAAACACACCAAACTTGCTTTTCTTCTTCCAGTGTGTGACGAGGGCAAGATCTTCTAGACCAATATAACCAGAAATGCAGTAATTCACATGCTGCAAACTCTTCTTTAACGAAAATATTATATTAATCTTTCCCTTAATCTAATCACCATACTAGATAGTTTAATTGATTATACTGGGATGCTGCCATTGCGCATTTTGAGATGGCATTCCATATTCCCATCCCCAAACTGTAATAAAATATTGTAATGACAAGTTAGAATTCCAACTTTTTAAGGGCCTCCGCATGACATTGTAAAAAGACCCTGAAAAAAATGAAATTCTGTTAGCAACATCCAGAAATACCCACTTTTAATCCTAAACATTTGTTGACAATAGCTAATCTCCCTCTGTTCCATTTGAAAAAAAAGACACAGCCCAAAGGATATCAGTAAGGCAAGAATCCCAGCCGTAACAGTATTCTTCTCTGCTCTTAAGAAGGAAAACAAATGGGAAGAACTTCTAATTTCCATCTCATTTAACCTGTTGCACATAACTACCTCTTTATGACTAACTTTTTATTTTAGGGTCATTAAGAACCACCACCATGGTAATTACAGCTAAATCTGTTAAGACTGAAAAAAATTCCTGATAGTCATATACCAGGGAATGCTATTATCATATGGTAAGTCAACAGAAGTACAGGCTTAACATTTCTTGACATTGCTCTTTCATAAGAATAGATCTACATTAACGAAACGTTCAGTTTAAAATTATAGGACATGAATTAGACTTACCTATAGCTTTCCCTCACACATCTTTCTGCAGCAACATAATCATTTCTGTGAAGATGAACTAAGACTTGTGCAATAGTTTTCTAAACAAATAAGAAAGAAAAAACAGCCTGATGATTCTTTGAAAATTCACAGTAAAATACAAGAAAAATACTGGGCTGCTAATATTTAACGTGAAAAAGGTCATTATGATCTGCAACGATTCTAAGATACTGACACAAGAGAGTCAGAACAACATAGTGAAAAAACAGTAAGCCATATTGTCAACTGGTACGAAATAGGTTATCTCCTATAATATTGTAATGAACTGCTGCAGCAAGTAACGGTTTTTGTGGTTTGTTTTTTTTGATAACATCTTTATTTTTTTATGTGTTTGTTGGTTTTGACACCTCCTGTAGATAGCAGCATCTTCAGTATTATAGCAGTGAAAAAAGTACAGTCAGAGGTTGGCAAAACATGCGCTACCACAAATTCTCATCATTTAGCAAGAAATGTATTCCTGAATCAAGAGGTACCTATTGTCAGTCAAATGGCAGCTGTCACCAGTTACCCAGAAAAACCTGAAATGCATTGTCAGAAATCGTCTCTTAGAATTTACCTTATAGCACGTTGGGTAATTTTCAATTTCCTTATAAATACTTTTTTCCTTTTGAAGAGACAATGCAGCCTCATCTAATCTAAAAAATCAAAAAACAGTTAGAGGAGTATCAGTGCCAGGAATACAGCATAATGAATCTGAGACTAATTACAAAGTGTTTAACTAACACACCAGCAAGCCTACTGGAATGAAAAGCAACACAACTAAAAATCAGCAACAAAGTAGATAAAATATAGTCAGCAATTCACTTTGTACACATGCACGCTAACATCACCTCTGGTACTCATTCAGAGAAACCTCATTTTTCATAACGTCATACAAGATGAATGCCTTGTTACGTACCCTAACAGATTTCTGCACATCATGAGGTTACTGTAACCTACCAGTAAGTCTGATATTCATGAACTATCAAGTCATAGTAACTGCTTTTGAGTTTGAATACTCTTTTAATCATCATATTAAACTTGTAGAAATTAGCAACAGCGAGCTATAAAGCAGCCAAGCAACACAGTCTTTAACACATTCTGAAGCTATGTTGACTTGCTTTCACAGAAAGACTGTCAAGTTACTTCATAAATTTCCTTTTCTGGCTACAGTTCCACAGAGAAATAAAGTGTCTCAGAAGCAGAGTTAGAAACCCAGACAACTTCTTAAAGAAATTACATGTCTCGGTGAAGCAAGTCCAAGCTGAACTGCAGGTCGAGTTTGGTGCTAGCAATTAACAATTAAAATTCCCACTGAGACTCCAAGATACACTCTTCTTTGAGAAGTCCAGATTCAGACTGCTGCAAACAGATTTCTTTCCTCAGGTTAGTCACCTAATTCCCCTGGTTTATATTCCACAGCTATAAAAGACTCTTAAGTACCTTCTACATATTAGTGCTGGGGAAAAAAGCAAAAATCCTGAATTATTTTAGGAGTTAATGAAAACTGGTGCATGTGCTTTCTAGCTATTCAACAAACACAAAGCAAACAACCTTACAGCCCACATTCTCGCATCCTAGAACACAAAAACAGGTGGTTCCTGGATGAACATGGCATATCCCACAGAAACTGAATTTTCATTTGAAGCGCATCTCAAAGAAGAATTAAGTAACAGTATATAAACCCAACAACAGCAAGAAAAAACCCCAAAGAAATCCAGCCTTAAAGATTCAATTACATTTTAAAAAAAAGGTAGCATAAACCTATACCTGCGTCCTCTGACTAGAAGTCTTGACGCCTTCCCTAGCATTTCCAATGCCTGCCGTAAACGTTCTTCATTCTAGAGAAGAACAAAAAGAATTAATGCATTAGCATTTCATTTGCACAGAATTAAGGCCACTAGATCTTAATCTAAGGATGTAATTCGTAGCTTAGAACAGTTGTTAAGTACTGTATCAGCGTTTCACACACTCAAGGGAGTACGGGTGCACTCCAGTCCCCCAGCCAGCTCCCATATGGATCTACAGAGCGAAGTAACATCAACGCAAACTTGCTAATCTGGAAACACGTGACAACTGACGATAGAGAAGTACATCAAAGGTAGCAGCAAACAGGCAAAACATCTGCTCATGGGACAGGCAGAGCATCAAGCAAGCTCATCTCTTCTGTGCTTTCAAGGATTTCAACCTATGTTAGGCTCCAGAACTTCACGACAGCCATGTTCCCTATCCTCTGGGCTGCCCAACAAGAATAGAAAACCCAGATTCAGTCGAGTCCCAAACTGAGAAAAAGGCAAAGCAAACCGACTCCTAAATTTTATAATCTCCTTCTCTACAGTATAAGAAGCCTTGAGCTTCATTACTCAGCCACTGAAGTGAAAGGAAGGAAAAATAATTTAGTACCTAATCTTAAGCTTCTTCTTAACTTCATAGCTGACCCTAAACAGCAATTCATTCATCTCTGTGTACTTGCTGGGACTGGTAAGTTCTTTGTTGGTGAGGGAAAAAAAAAAAAAAAAACACACACAAAAAAACAAAGCAACCCAGAAAACTCCCACTTACTTCAAACACTGACGCTGCTTGCTGATAGAGCTGCACAGCCTTCTCTGGGCTCACATTTTCTATTAACCTGTAATAAACATAAATAATTTCTCTTCAGATGACATGAAAATATCTTTTATCTAAAAGTATCAAAGACACAATTAAAAAAGCAAAGATATACCCATGCCCTGCAAGCATTCTAGCCACAGAATGCCACAGACTTACTTGCCAGCCCGTTCCAGTGCAATAGCTGCTGTATCTGGTGTCCCATTCTCCAGGTACATCATGCTGGCTTTCTCGATCAGCTGAACTGCTTCAGGGAGTCTCTGCATCTCCTGCAAAGCAACAGCCAGAGGGACATTGCTGTCAGGAATTGTGCTCATGTACAATGAAACAAATCAAAGCAAACTGTAATACCTTATTTATTAAGATTCTAATTTTTATTCACAAACTTGAAGAGCTAGTGAAAGTTGACCACTAACTCCATACAACTCACTTGTAAGTACCAAACTTTCACTAAAGTTGTGAATTTGCGGTAGTTTAGACTAAAAGCAGCACCATTCTTCCATTATCCTCTGACATGAGGCCCTCATCTTTCCTTCTACAAAAGGAAAAGCATTTTTTTTCCTCAATTACAAAAGTCGCTTCCCTTACCTACTGAGGGTATTGGTGGGGGCTATGAGTCAACAGAAAATACCACTTTAATATGCAATTTGCTTACACATATTTGTAAAATGGTCCAGTGCACAACGTTCTTCACCATAAAACAGAACTTTTTATTAAAAACTAGTAAATGAAAATACCTTCAGCATCATGCCAGCTTGTTCATAAGCTCTGCAGAGAAAAAAAATTTAGATACGGTGTATTTCAGCAAGTTGTAGGTACACAGCAAAAGTTAACATGCATCAGCTATCACTTCACTGTCAATATTTAATGCTTTGAAGATGTTTCAAGTGTCTTATTTAATGAGGCAGTGCATGTGTAATATTATCTTCCACAAATTAAGTACTTCAGCTACACTCCCCACTAAAATCTGTTCCCATGATGTGACCCACAGGCAATATTTGGATTATTTGTCATTATCTGCTCTCTTTGAAGTACTCTTTAATTAAAAATTTCTTTATAAGCTCAACAGTTATAAATTCCCAAATTACAACAAATTCATCTAAGAAAAAATACTTGATATCAAAAGGTGCTGAAGAATGTCAAAATCATAATTTCTTCAGATGGCCATTGCAGGTTTTCAGACTTTCCTAGCCCACACTTCCATTCAGCTGATTTTGAAACAGTGAAATCACTGGAGCCACACCATTTACTACAGCGAGATCAAAATGATAGCTCATGCTTGTACCATACATTAGAAAATTTGTTTCAGGTTACTCATTGCTTCTGTACTTACTTGGCAGCATGGAAGAGACTGGAAGTAATATTGTCAAGGACAAAAACCAGAAAAAATATAACGCAGAAAAATTATTAGTGCACAAAATCTTATAAAAATACTAGTTGCAAAGCAAGGAATCCCATAAATGCAAATCGAATCTACTACATTTGTAGGCAAGGTGTCAAAAATAAATGCTTTTAAGGACAGAATAAATGTAATGTACCAAAGCATATAACTGTATGTAAAGCTGTAAAAAGCACTTCTATTTAAAATATGTTCCTGGTTACTAAATACTACTACAAGTACTGTAATAACGTCAGAGTTGCATTTCATTTATACTATCCATTTGTAGGTATTTCAAAAAACATAATAATTTCTGAAGCAGTACCTAGACATCTCAGACACTGGTCAGCGTCTTATCACCCCAGATGTTACTGGAAACAACACAGATTTTCTAACCAAAAGAACTCTTTAGTTTTCCCACTTATGAGCACACAGGAATAGCCTTTTAAGAGACAATTTTGTTAGAGTGACAAAATGTACAAATGTATTAACTACATCTTCTACCAACCCGCATTACCTCATTCGAAGTAGCAACTAGTCAGCTTCTTGGAAAAAAATAGGAACAATTCTTTAAAAGATACGCTTTATTGTTTTCATGTGCCTCAGCTTCCCGTAAACAGGCTTCCCTTGCCTGGTCAAACTGCTTGGCATTTTTAAAGGCAACAGCTGCAAGAAATAAAATAAAGTTCTTATTTACAGCTTGGCATTTTCCTTTTCCCACCACTTCTGCTCAAGAGCCACCTAAAGATGCAAACAGACTCTTCAAATGCATCGTTACAGTTTACCAAGCTCTTCAAATAAATCCCATGACAGTTCTCCTTGCTTCATTAGTCACTTAGTTACCATTAAAAACATTTATTTGCAACAGCACTTCCATACCATTGCTGTCCCACACAGTGTGCATAATGTGTTTAGCTAGATTTTGGAATTCAATCATAGGTTTTACAAAATCAGTATGACAGGAACGTAAGTGTACCATCAACAAAGCATGACTACAACAACTTTCTCAACACAACCAATTCAGGGCACAAATATGTATTTCTATCTCCATTAGACTGACAGGATATTAAAGTAGGATTTAAAATAAATTTCAATTTATAAATGCTTCAGTTGCTCTTCCAAGTTTTTATTTTTTTATTCAGGCTTAAATGAATAAGTAGAAATGCCTAGAGTAAGAAGCCAAAAACCACAACAAATTACTATTACCAAAAAGAAGAAAATTTTTTAAGAGCAAAAAGGAATCGACTAGTAAGAACTTTATATTCGGTGTGACACTTGCAGTGGAAAAAAAGGAGGAAAGAGATCTTACTACGCCTAAAAAAAACCTGGCAGCATCTCTCTATCTTACTGAGGCAGTCTTTGTCAGGACACACTTCACAAGATGATGAAAAAGCAAAGTTTTAAAACCAGCTTGAATATTTGTTGTTTTGTAAGTAAAGTCATAGGATTTGGGGGTGGACAAGTGAAAGAAGGAAAGCATTATTTCTATCACACGCAGTAATACACAAAGTAGAAGTTGTAACCTTGAAAAGCAAACAAAAATGTTTTGACAATTGCTCTAGATCTCCAAGTACAATCTGAAATTTATTTTACAGTGCTGCTAAGACTACTTTTTTTGTTGTTGTTTCATCTTACTTCATCTTCCAAACAGTTTTACTTACACAGCAATGTAACAAAAATACGTAAAATTTACCAGGGATTAAGCTTAAAGAATACTTTGAAACCATCAAGTATACGGCCATATTTACAGCCATACATACCTGCCTTCCCATATTCGGTAGCTGCACTGTCATAATCTGGTTTCCACTTTAAGAATCCAGTTTTCAGACTAAAATGCAAGAAGAAAGGCCTATTAACAATTAATAAAGATTTTATGTTTCACCTTCAAAGCACTTTAGATATACTTAAAACTTTAGATGTCCTCTGAAAAGGAGTAATTACCTATATGCCAATATTACGGTGACATCACTACTGTAAAAATAAATGTTGGTATTGTCAGGAATTGCATAAAGCACTGCAATGATGTCCCATAGTTACCTGCCTCACTCTAACATGCTTCTAATGTCCCTGCCTCGCTCTAACATGCTTCTAATGTCCCCAGAGAGTCTTTGCGAGTCCAGCTCCTCAGCAGTAAGATGCCAACAGAAGAAAACTACTTCTCCCTACACCAACACGATATCTCAAGATTTCGAATGCCACAACACCTGGCAGTACTTTTGGTTACACATCACAAAGTTTCCAGTGTTCCTCTACAGTAATTTTTTGCTGCTGAGAATTATCCAAGATTCTCCACTGCATGCACAAATGAAATAATTTACTTACCAACAGAAAGACAAAGCCTCATATGTCACTTATACAGCTATAATAGATCATGACACTAAATGGTGCCACACACAGACATCAATATAGGGAAAAACACACACTGCAAAATGAGGCAAGTCATCAGGCAATGTTGATTTCAACATTATGACTTCCTCACTTCTAAAACAAACATAAAAATTACCATAACTTTAGAGTCCACTTCCATAATTACAGGCAGACCCTTCAGATACAACACACGCTTCATTTGGAAAAACAGTTGCATATTGCTTTTATTGTCTTACGTGGATGAAAGCCACAGTATGTAACTCTAAAGCAAGCCTTTATGTGGTGTTATTTTTATCACAGGCAAAGTCTCAAATGCATCAAGCTGAAATATGCAATGCTTTCATCTGCACACAATTCAAGATTTAGGCGCCTTTTATTTCAGGTGCTTTCCAGGATCAGCTTAACATGAATTCCACTGAAAGGCACTTCTGGTCAAGTAAATTGAATAAAATACTCTGGTACAGATATTTTTTTTATTCTGAGAGGTCCCTCCTCTATCACAGTTTACACTTTTGATCCATGATTTCCAGATGGCCCAGCAGTATTCTTAGTAAAATCATAGCATCTTTGGATTAGTCAGATCTGTTGTATCCATACTGTAGTCTGTGAAAATGAGACTTATAGGCAAAATGGCTATATTCAGTGTTGAAATAGACGTTAAAAGACTATCACACATAGACGTTAAGCCCTCTAAGCTAAATGTCAGCACAGGTCTTTGAGGCCATCTAAAAAGAAACAACTACACATTTCTCAGAGGCAGGAAACAAACACACACACCATCTCAGCGAGGTGAAGCTCTTCTATTCACTGCAATCCCCGTAACTCTCTTCTCCCACTAACTTCAGCAGAAGTGACTCCCCTCACCTTCCAGCTAGGGTCAGGGCAACAAATGCTACGTGGCCCCGAGGGAACCAACCGCTCGGGCCCCAGGCCTCCGAGCCCCACAGCCTCACCGGCACGGGGTCAGTAAATCTTTAGTTTCAGTGACGCTTTAGTCTCCCAGTTCGGGGAAGAACGGCGCCCTTTGGCACCCAGGCCCTGCAGGAAGGCACCCGAGGCACAAGAGGGGTCAGGCGCCCGTGCCCTCCCACTCCCTCCGCGCCGGCCCCCCAGCTCCCTCCCCTTCCCC